ATTTTAGGATTTCTTGAGTGGCACTATACACAAAAATAAAGCTTTGCATATTGGCGCACTCCTTTAGTTCCAACAAGAGACTATCAGAGTGATCAGTAAACCAAAAAACTGCATAATAGTGAGATGTGATAACCTGAGAGTCAGTAGATTTACAGCCACAATGAGGGATTTAGGAATGGGATGTGGAGATGACAGCAGACTCTGTTCCACTTCTATAACCAGTAATCTAAGGTGGGAGGAAAGGTCATCACTTGAGAGCTCTGAAATGAGTGACCTCAGACAAGAACCATGTTTCATTAAATCAGGAGTTGGCATACTTAGTAAAGCTTAAGCTAAGAATGGTTTTTACATTTTCAAAAAAAATTTATTTTTATGTATGTGAGTATATTGCCTGCATATGTGTATTGCCTGCATGAGTGTATTGCCTGCATGTGTGTAAGTGCACCTGTGTTCTGCAATACCCACGGAGGACAGAAGAGTGTGTCAGATCCCCTGGAACTAGAGTTAGGAATGGTGGTTTGCCGCCATGTGAGTGCTGGCATTTGAACCCGGGTTTTCTGCAAGAACAGCCAGTGCTCTTAACTCCTGAGCCATCTCTCCAGCCCTGGTTTTTACATTTTAATAATTGGAAAAATTAGAGTATATCATGATAAGTTATATGAAATTCAGATTTCAGTGTTTGCTAATAAAAGTTTTATTGGGACACTGTTGTGCTCAGTTTTTAATGCCTCATTGATGGCAGCTTTTGTGCTACAGTTCCTCCTCGAGTAGTTGAAACACAGGCCATACATGGTCTTCTCATTGCTTGATACTGCTGCACAGCATCAGACTGATGTAGTTACAGTTTGTTTTTCAAGTGTCATTTGTATTATGTTTCATTTTTGTTGTTGTTATCAGTACATACCCATTATGTTCAAAAAGAAGAAAAAATGTATTTGAAATGTTCTCTTGAGGCATAGTGAGATATGGATTACTTTATCAAGTTAGATGGCAAAACATTGTTTATTATGCAATGACAAGATAGCTGTGCTAAAAGAATACAGTGTACAGTAACATTGTCAGACTGAACACTAATACTATTCCCAGCCCAGGACAGCAGTAGTTTTGCGTGCGCACGCGTGTGCGCGCACACACATACACACACATGCTTGTATATTCTCATCTTTGCACAGAAATGGAAAGGAATTGAGGCTATGATCTTACATAAGTTTACTGGTGTCTTATTTGTTAGTCAAAGTGAGAAAGTTGTTCACTGATGGTATGTGATTACAGCAGCCAAATAAATATGTACAAAGAGAAACACTTGCTTAACACTGTTAGCCTTGAGATAGATTGCTTGCCTAGCATGCACAAGGCCCTGGGTGCATTTCCTGCCTGCCATCTACCCCAAAAGACCATTAGATGTTTTGACAAGAATAGTTGATTAAAGAATTTTAGATAAGGGGCTAGGGAGATGGCTCAGCAGTTAAGAACACTGGTGGTTCTTGCAGAAGACCCAGGTTCGAATCCCAGCACCCACACGGCAGCTGACAACTGTCCGTAACTCCAGTCTCAGGGGATCCGACAGCCTCTTCTGACCTCCACGGGCATTGCACAAGGGTGCACGTCTCTCTTTGCAGGCAATACATGCATACACATAAAATAAAAATAATCAAAAGGACTGCTTTCCTTTGTTCCCTCCTTCCCTCCCTCCCTCCCTCCCTCCCTCCCTCCATTGTGATCATTTGAGGCTCTTGTTATATAGTGCAGGTTGGCCTCAAATTCTTGACTTTCCTGCCTCAGCCTTTCAGTACTGGGATTATGGGCATGCACTACTATGTTCAACTTTCTTTCTATATATTTGAGGTATCTATACATAGTTTGAAGTGACTGAACAATTAGTCTGTAGTTATCTTTTGCCCATGTCAGCTCTGGAAAGCTTGGTCCTATTTTCTTTATATTATATATTACTATATTGTGAAATTAAATGAACATAATTGCATACTAATTATTTCTCTTTCCTCTAGAATATGACCTCCTCAATCCTGTTTGTCCCAGCTTTTAGAATATTACCTACTACAGAGTAGATTCCGAGTTAATGCATACAGTGTGTCCTACATATAGTATCCTTAATTATCCTCCTATCTGGTTACTAATAAGTTTGTCTAATTGAATGATTGATTGATTGATTGATCTTTTTGAGAAAGGGTCTCTCTGTAGCCCCAGCTGTCCTGGAACTCACTATGTAGACCAGGCTGGCCTTGAACTCACAGAGATCTGCCTGCCTCTGCCTCCCTAGTGCTAGGATCAAAGGCGTGCACCACCACGTCCGGCAAATTTGTCTATTTTATAAGCCCCCAATTCATCCTCTCACTTTTTCTTAATGGTACTATGATACGATGTTGGGGGGAAAATCACTGTGATGTCTAATCCTTAATGGTCCTCCTTACTTATTAGGAAGTCATGCCAAATAAAGTAAATGGGACTGTCATATTGGATGTTTCTTGACTGTTGCAGAGATTTTAGCTAAGACCCAGCCCAGGTTTCCCATGTATGGAGTTTACAGATCTAGTAAGGTCCAGTCATTTAAGATAGGCTTGGAAAGCATCTTCTGGTATACGCAGTTTTCTACTTCAAAAGAGCCATAAATAGCATCTTTGCGCCAAGGGGTGGGTTCAGTGTTAAATCCTGGGATATGATGGATGTAAATAAGTCCTGAGTGTTTGGGAAACTAAAGTGTACTGGTTAGTCTTTGATTAGTTCTAGGTTGAACCTTGGTGAAATGATATAAGAAAACTAGAGCCATAGAAACTGAATGTGATTGAAAGTCATCAAATAACAGGCATTTACACTGGTAGCATGTAAGCCTGTATTAGGACAAACTAAAATCATTGCACCAGAAAGATCTTTTGAATCCTCTTAAATGCCACAGGCCGTTATATAACTCAGTATTCCAAGTTAAGATTTTCTTCTCATTTGAAATATTACAGTGCTCTTAAAATTCTCACCGCCTCCAGTCTTGCCCTTACTGAATTTATCTTTTACATATTCACCAGAGTGATTTAGCTGTGTATTATGTTTATTTTCCTTAGTCTCCTCATGACTTCCAACCCATGCTAGTGGTTTTTAAATTCTTCTCAGTTTTCCAGCAGAGTCCACAGGTTACCTAATGACTCCATTATGGGCAAATGTAAAGTAGATGAGGCTGCATTATTTAGCCCCTGTCCTAAACACCTCATTGCCCCAGAGCAGAACAGTTTCTTTGATTTTTTTTTTTTTTAATATATTGAGCTGCCTAAACCTTTAGTCTGAATTTTTTTTTTCCTAATTACTGGCTTATGAGTAAAGTTTTGAGACTCCTTAACCAGATTGGGGCTTCCTGGCCTCTTCTGCGCCTAAACATAAACTTGATAGTCTGGCAGCAGAGAACCTGTGTACAGTTCCACTGTGATTTGCTTATATTGCCCATCTGCCTGGAATATTCTCTCTTCATGCTTTCTCACCTGGCCAACAGCTACTCTTCATTTTAGACATGTTTCAGGTGTCATCATCTCTAGGACCCTCCAAGGCAGGCTTTAATTAGGTATCCACTGCAGTGCTTCAAAAACTCTGCTTATCTCCTTTATTACATTGCTTTGAATTAGGCCTTCACTGTTTATGTTTCTGCTAGATTTGGACTTAGTAACTCTTTTATTAATTACCCTTACATGTCTCCATTGATTATTTTAGTACCTGATGGGTACTAGGCACAAATGTGAGTAGTGAATTGATGATTATTGTCTGTGTCTTTGTAGTGCATCTTTCAGTAGATATATGAGCTATAAATTTATTAAATTTAATCTCTCATCAAAACGTTTTTATTGCATGTATCCATTGGTCATAATGTACATAAATACTTGACTTTGAATGTATATTTTAACAGAAAGACAATATTACAGCTACTTTTACTGGGAACTAGAACTTCAGTTTAATAACTCTGTGTGTGTGTGTGTGTGTGTGTATGTGTGTGTGTGTGTATGCACAATGCTGAAATGTGAAGCTTTCCATGTAATCTCATCCCACTGTTGACCCATGTGGGTTAAAATAGCCCTATTTTAATCTATGACCAGAGACTTTGTGTACTGTTGTATGTAGCATGATAGGTTCATATGAATAATCACAGTGATTTCCACTGCATGTTTTAAGTCTCATTTCAAATTAATGCTATAAATATAAAGATTACCAGCTGGAAATTTAATTTTGATTCTTAGCACATTTGTGTCTTTAAAAAAATTGGGGGGTTATTTATTTTTATCTTATATGTATGAGTATCCTATGTGTATGTAAGTGCATAACATGCATGTAGTGCCCACTGAGGCCAGAAGAAGGTGTCAGATCCCCTGGAACTGGATTTAAGGATAACAATTATTAGCCACCATATGGATGCTGGGAACCAAGCTAAGGTTCTCTGCAAGAGTAGCCAGTGCTCTTAACCACTGGGCCATCTCTCTAGCCCCTAAATTGTATCTTATTAAAAGGATCATCAGTGGTAGAATACTTTCCTCGAATCCTCCAAGCCCTGGGTTCAACCTCTAGCACCACATAAATCAATCTTGTAACACAGAACTTGGGAAATAGAGGTAGGAAGATCAGAAATTCAAGGTCACCCTCAACTGTTTAACAAATTTGAAGCCAGCCTTGGATGCATGAGACCTTTCTCAAAAAAAAAAAAAAAAAAAAAAAAAAAAGGCAATATCTGTGCTTAAAACTTTACATTAAGTCAGATTTTTATAAAAACCTTTAATGTAATACTGAAACCTTTCTCTTTTTTTTATAACTTCAGGGTTCACTATATCAATTATTTGAAGGGTGGTGTGTTGGGACTTGAACCCAGGGCCTTATGAAGCAAGCACTTTGCCACTAAGCTGTATCCCAGCACTAATTTATAATGGTTTTTTCCATTATAATAAAACCAATAATTTGCTAGTAAAATAAGTAGTGTTCATAATAATGTTTTAATGACAAAATTGTTTTTCATACAGATAAAGACACAATAAATAAAATTAGAGATTTACGAATGAAAGCTGAAGACTATGAAGTAGTGAAAGTGATTGGTAGAGGTGCATTTGGAGAAGTACAGTTGGTAAGTTGTTTTATTGAGATTTATAAAAACAACTTTTTAAATCAAAAATTTTTTCCATGTTTGCCATATATTATTTGGGGAAATAATTGTGTTTTTTTTTTTTTTATAAAACTTTTATTTAAATGGCTCTAACATTTTTGCCTAAGGGTTTGAAAATGCAAATCCAGCAGTAGTGGGATTATTCCCCAAGCATCTATGGGTAAGCATTCATGTTTCACAGAAGGAATCTTTGCTCCTAATATTAGACTACGTAGCATGCCATGGAATAGTGAGTTTTATAAATGGGCTGAATATGCTATAGTACAGACAGCAGAAGAATTTATTTATTGTTTCCTTTTACCTTTTTTTTTTGGTCTTTTTGAGACAAGGTCTCCCTGTAGCCCTGTCCTGGTTTGTTTCTTCATTGCTGTGACAAAATACTCTGCCCACTTCCGACTTGGGGAGGAAAGGGTTTATTCAGCTTACATCTCCCAGGTCACAGTTCATCAGGGAGCCCAAGGTAGGAACTCAGGGCAGGAACCTGGCGTCAAGAGCTGGAACACAGGCCATGGAGGAACGCTGCTTACTGGTTTGCTCCCCTGGCCCCTGCTCAGCCTTTTTTATGCAACATAGGCCCACCTGCCCAGGGATGGCACCACCTACAGTGGGCTGGGCCCTCCCACATCACTCATCAAGAAGATGCCCCTCAGACATGGCCACAGGCCAGTCCAATAGAGGAAATTCCCCAATTGAGGCTTCCTCAACTCAGGTGTGTCAAGTTGACACTAAAGCTATCTGGCATAAGCCCCAACTGGCCTGGAACTCACTATGTAGACCAGGGTGGCTTGGAACTCACAGAGATCTGCCTGCCTCAGCCTCCCAAGTGCTATGATTAAAGGTGTGCACCACTATGCCCAACTTATGTGTTGTTTCATTAACATTACTTTCTGTAATTAAAACACTGGCACTAGCTAATTGGATAATTAAACAGAAGAAAAAAAAAACTAAAATAACTGAAAAAGTACACTATTTAATAAGTATTAAAGCCATGTATTGTTGAATGAAACACTGAGCTCTAATTTTTTTTTTTTCAATTTTAAAGGTAAGGCATAAATCTACCAGAAAGGTATATGCTATGAAGCTTCTTAGCAAATTTGAAATGATTAAGAGATCTGATTCTGCTTTTTTCTGGGAAGAAAGAGACATCATGGCTTTTGCCAACAGTCCTTGGGTTGTTCAGGTATGATTTTGCTACTATTTCATTATTGCCGTACTAATTTGCAACAAATGTATCTGAGTAATTTGGTTTATTGTTAGAACAGTGATAACTTTCTGTCAGTTACTAAATAGCCTAATATATTAATTTTTAAAATCAAATTTTAATCTTGTTGAATCATCTTTAGAAAAGCCAAAACAAAATAATTATATGTTTTTTGCAGAATTTAATCTCTTTTGATTTAAGGAAAGTATATACCTTAACTTTGAATAGATTAGTATTGAACTACAAACATGAGGTTCTCATACTTTCCAACTGCCTAGTCTTCGACACCTGTCTTTTACTTATTGAAGTAAAAGAATGGAGCAATGAGCAGGGATTACGTTTAAAAACTAGGTTAACAAACATCACTGCCTTAGCTTTAAGGTCGGATGGAGGTCAGATTCCCCTGGAACTGGAGTTAAGGATGGTTCATAGCCGCCATGTGGATGCTGGGAATCAAACCTGGGTCCTCTGCAAGAGCAATTAGTGCTCTTAACCTCTGAACCATCTCTCCAGCCCCTAAGGTCTTTTTTTAATGAAAAAAATTCGATTTATTTAATTTTTAATTACATGTCTGTATGTGAGTTTGTGCACATGAGTGCGGGTGCCCATGGAGGCCAGAAGTATTGGATTCCCAGGAAGCTGGAGTTACAGGTGGTTGTGAGCCACCAGATACGGGTGCTGGGAACCAAACTCAGGTTCTCTGCAAGAACAGTACACACTCTTTCTTAGTTGCTGTGCCATCTCACCAACCCTTGCTTCAAGTTTTCAGTTTCTAGAAATGTACACTAGAATGTTGTGCTCTTGTAATCCCAGTACTTGGGCAGCAGTGGCAGCTCTTCCTCATTCCACCAATTATAACAACCAGATAAATTTAGATATTGTTGAATATCCCTTGATGGCAGTAATGTGGGGGGAGGGATGGGCACGTTGTTGCCTTTGGTCGATAACCCCTGATAAATGGATGTTTTGTATTAGAGGATTAAAATATATATGACATAATTCTTAAATTTGCGGTTCAAGGACTGGAGAGATGGCTCAGCGGTTAGGAGCACTAACTGCTCTTGCAGAGGACCCAGTTCGATTTCCAGCACCCACGTGGTGGCTCACAACCATCTGTTATTCCAGTTCCAGGGATCTGATGCTGTCTTCTGAACTCCGAGGGCATTGCACAACATGGGTACACTGACATACATGCAAGCAGTACACTCATACACACACAAAATATTACAATTCAAACACTCTAGAGTAGTTTTAATACATTATATGTAAATAGGGTAAACTGCTATCAAAATAACAGAGCTTCTTTAATTATGGAGTTCAAGTGAGAAGTTGTACATTATGACCTGGAGTAGTCAATCAAATGCTACTTCATTTTTCTCTTGTTTTGTTTTGTTTTGTTTTTTTTCAAATGCATGTATGTGGTATAGGATGTGTGTGCATGTACTCGGGTACACATATGTGCTTGTGTGGAGGTCAGAGGAAAACTTCAGGTGTCTTTTGTCCAAGTTTGTTTGAGACAGGATCTCTCATTGGCCTGGAGCTCCCCAGTTAAGCTGGACTGGCTGGCCAACAATTCCTAGGTCTCCTCTCTGCTTAATGGTGCTGGGATTTCAAGTCAGTGTCACCATTTTTATGTGGGTTCTGGGCATTGAATTCCAGTTCTTGAGGTTGCAGGACAAGTGCTTTACTGACTGAACCATCTCTCTCTATACCCCAGTTTGGTTTTTAAATTACAATAAGTGGGAATGGAGAGATGGCTCAGTAGGTAAGAGTTCTTATTTTGCAAGTATGAAGACCTAAGTTTAAATCCCCAGCACCCACATAAAATGCTGGGCATGGCTATGTGTGTCTGTAACCCCAGCATTGCAGGACAGACAGGCTGATCTTGAAAGCTTGCTGGCTACCAGCCTAGCACAACCAGCCAAGCTTCTAGTTCAGTGAGAGACCCTGTCTTAAGGCAATAAGACAGAGAGGGATAGAGAAGGCACCCAGGATCCCATTCTGGCCTTCACACACACAACACATACAACATATACAACAACAAAAATAATCAAAATACGTGGTGATAAGAGTTGTGCAGTTTGGGAGTCTTTTAGATAGATCCACTGAAGGGGTACTCCAGTTGCCTCACCCTGCGTCCCTGTTCAGCATGGAAGAAGCCAGAGTGGTCTGTGTCCTGATTCCCTGTCTGCAACCTGGGTGTAACCTCTTCAGAGGATGGAGTGATAAGAATAGGAGGTAGGAATTGGCTAGACAGTGTAAAAAGACCCCAGAGAAAAGTAGCCAGTTTCTTGGCTAAAAGTCAAAATGTCCTTGGGCCTCTTAACAACATACTCCATTCCAAAGGCCAAAAATGTCGAAAGTATTTAAGAGCGCTTATCCAATCCTTTAAAGATTTTAGAGCTGCCTCTTCAGAGGGGGGAATGTTAGAGTAGTAAAAAGCCCCATTTAAAAATAAAAAAAGAAGAAAGAGTACATGAAGTTATCAGAAAAAAATGATGGGTAGATGTGGGAGGAGTTGGAGGGGAGGGAGTGGGCATGGATTTGATCAAAACACCTTATATGCTTATATGCCTGCATGAAACTCTCAATAAATTATATAAAAATAATCAAAATAAATCTAAAATTAGTAAACACTATTGAAAAAAGAAACATAAAGGTTCTAAGACAACTAGATAAATTAGGTATTATTTTCCATAGGGCTTGTTTTTAGTTTCATACTTAATGTGTGTTTTGGAAGTTTGCTCTCTTTTCTATTTCTACTCTGGCCACACAATATGTTTATGCCTGATATCCTTGACAGTTCCTCAGTAGTGGGTTTTGGTCTTCCTATGATCCAGAAAGACAGTTACTATTAAGTGTACCTCCAAGTTAGAGATTATAATTTTGTTCATTAAAAGCTTATTAAGCTCTTGCCAACTGCCAGGCATCCAGTTGCTGATTGAATAGCAGGTATCAAAGTCAAAAAAGATTTAATTCCTCATATTCTTATGGAAGGGATTATATAGTCTTAGAAATTTGGAGTAGTTAAACAAATCGCCTGAACCAGGCAGCTGATAAGTAACAGCTGAAGCTATAGCCCAGTTTATCAAAGACTTGAAATTCTGATGTTAATATTAAATTTAACAGTAAACCCACTAATAAGCACATCAAATTAGAAGCACAATTATTTCTTTGCTCAGGAGAGTTGTGTATTCTTTATGGAAACTGTAGTAAGTAAATTCTCAGTATAAAAGATTTCAGGGTGAGGAAGAGATGGCTCAGCAGTTAAAAGTATGTCTTGCTCTTACAGAGGATCCAGGTGAGTTGGTTCCCAGCACCCACATACAGTGGCTCACAACTTTCTGTAGCTTCACGGATCTGAAGCTTCTAGCCTTATTGGGCAGCACTCATGAGCAGAAATCCACACACAAAGAATAGTTAAAAATAATGAAGTAAGTGTTTAAAAAATTTCAAACCCACGTGTGATGATTGCACATGTGCAGTCCCAGCACTCTGGAAGCTGAGGTGAAAGGACTGCTTTGAGTTCAAAACCAGCCTGTGCTACATGTCAAACACCACCAACAACAACAAAATAATTGCCTTATTTACAGGTTGAGTGTGGTGATGCAGGCCTTTAGTCCCAATACCCAGGAGGCAGAGGCAGACAGATCTCTGTGAGTTTGAGGCCAGCCTGGTCTGCATAGCAAGTTCCAGGCTAGTAAGGGCTCTATGGTGAGACCCCACTTACTCTAATCAAAATAAGTGATTAGAAATAAAAAACTTTATGGTTCTTTGCATTTATAGAGATCTTTATAACGTTTATGTGCACCTTTAAAAAAATAGCCTGACTCCATGCTGCCATTTTGTCTGACTTGAGTTTGTTCAAGTGTTGAGCATGCTATCACAGCCTCTGTGAGTTCATATGTGTAACTGCCCTGTTGTGTCCTGACAACATTATTTTGCTGAAGTAATCCAGTTCCTCTGGTGTTTACACTCTTCCAGTGTATTCCTTCTTTCAAGATGATCTCTGATCCTTGTGGGGAGTGGGGTGATGAAATCCACTCCTAGATGAGAAGCTCTTGGAAATGAGAGCTACTGGAAAAGGAAGGGTCTGGTTTCTCTAAGGTTGTGGCCCCTGATAGGTAAATCATACGCCACTGGATGGCCATACACTCGAAAGTACTTGGGAATACAAATTTTACTATGGGTTTAAGAAAAATAAGGACACAAATTTGAGTGGGTGAGGAATGGGGAGGTTGGATTTGTGAGGAGTTGGGTCAGATGAGGGTCAATATGATTAAAATACATAGTTTGAAATTTTCAAATAATTAATAAAAAATGAGGAAGGAAAAAATTTAAAGAGTGTGAATGGAGATGTCCTCCATGGGTGGATAACACCTTCCAAGACGCCAAATGTGAAAACCTCATCACCACATGGGGGCTACTTCCCTATGAGTTTTTGCTTCAAGCTCCATCCTTGAGTTCCTGCCCAGGACTCCTTCAATGACAAACTGTAACCAGTAAGACATAATAAACCCTTTCATCCTCATGTTGCTTTTCAAAAAAAAAAAAAAATAGCCTGACCATTTTAATTACTTCGTATGTTAGTATTTTTGGCAGCTTTTATCTGAAAAAAGTGTTTCTTAGTTAATTCCAGTGCTTTTTTCTATTTGTGCAGCTTTTTTATGCATTCCAGGATGACCGATACCTCTACATGGTGATGGAATACATGCCAGGTGGAGACCTTGTGAATTTGATGAGTAACTATGACGTGCCTGAGAAATGGGCACGGTTCTATACTGCAGAAGTAGTTCTTGCATTGGATGCAATCCATTCCATGGGTTTTATTCATAGGTAAAGATAAAAATGCTTTAAATTCCATACTTTTTACAAGGAGTAGCAAAAAAGAACTTAAAACATCATTTGATTAATATTTCCTACTCTGAATCTACCCAGTCACTTCCTCAATGACACAAGTGACATTTTTGAATTCTAGTTTTAACATTTACTTTGATATAGTCTTTAATAACCTTAGTGTAATTGTATAGCCTTTCTGTGGTATTTTGAAAAGTAAAACATGTAAACTGCTTCCCAAAAGTGTATGCTACTACTTTGGTTCTTTAATAATAGCGTCATTCTGTCTTCATACATGTCTATGATGTACTTGGATTATATTCACTGCCCATGACCGCCCCTTATCCCCTCCCACTGATCCTTTTCCTCTGCTCAAGCAGTCCCCTTCTACTTCATGTTTTTTTTTAAATATTTATTTATTATGTGTATGAGTGTATTGCTTGCATGTGAGTGTACCCGTGTTGTGTGATGCTGCGGAGGTCAGAAGAGGGCTTCAATTCCCCTGGAACTGGAGTTAAGGATGGTCCATAGCTGCCATGTGGGTGCTGGGAATCGAACCCAGGTCCTCTGCAAGAGCAGTCAGTGCTCTTAACCGCTGAGCCATCTCTCTAGCCCCTCATGTCTTTTTTTTTTTTTAAAAAAAAAACCTTCTCTGAGTTTAATTAGATTCGCTTACAGGAATGTGGGTGAGGGGTTATTTTCAGGAGTGAGAGCCAACTTATTAGTGAGTATCACTGAAGAAAATGTCTCTTTCTTCCTCCAGCAAACATTAACTACCATTACCTCTTTAGGGAAGGGGTGAGGCCTCTTGAGCCCCTCTCCCCTAGGATTTTAAATTTTTGTGTGCAAATTTTCTTTAAAATAGTGAGTCAGTCAATAAATATTTGTTATAATAATTTAATTTGTTCTGAAAATACTGCTTGAATCTTATTTGTAATTGCTGTGCTGCCTGTCAGGGATGCAAAATGAAAGTGTATTAGACTCTGGCCTGGAAATATTCATGTACTTACTGTAAATAGTTCAGCTAATCTTTATGTCTGCATGTTATAATTTATGGCAAATTTCTCAAGTGATTTTCCTACTGTAAGAATCAAACTCTACTTTTAAGAAAAGAAAATGTATAAAGGTGTTTTCTTAATGCAGCTCCATTTCTTGATGTGGATGAGAAGCATATAAAGGTCAAAGGCTGCCCCATGTAGATTGAATAAGGATGCTTCGCTTGAAAAACTGCTTCATGCCTTTAGCAGTGTCTGATCTCAGCCATCCTCCTATTTGTTTCCCTCCCTCAGAGATGTGAAGCCTGACAACATGCTGCTGGATAAATCTGGACATTTGAAGTTAGCAGATTTTGGTACTTGTATGAAGATGAACAAGGTCAATTCTAATTTAGTTTTACTAATTCAAGATAGTACTTTAGAAAGTGCTGTAAGAATCCACTGACCATATCTGGACTTGCCCAGAGTTGACATGACCATATTTGTTGTACTAAATAGCATGCTTTCAGCATTGTATTAGTAACTTGTTAGAGATTTATATTTTCTTCTTTATTTAGGGTAGACGTGGATTGCCAGATTTACTAAATCCTCCATAACAGCTCTATAGTATGCACTACTAGTAACTAGAAATAGAATTGGCATAAATGTCACTAAGTTTTAAAATTAGACTTTCATAAAAATTGGATTTCAGAAGTGTTTCAGGAATGTTTTATGAGTATTTTAGTGTCTTAACATGTAGAAGATTTTGTAGCTTATTTTAGATACCAGTCTTAAAAGATACCCATAGTCACTGTTTACATAATTTTATATATAGCTGAAAGAGCAAATATGACACTTTTTTCCCTTTAGTTGAGATTATGTATTTTTTAATTTACCAAGAATAGTTAGAAAGCTGTATTTTTATTTTAAAAGGAAGTGTGTTGGTAAAAAGGAAGCACTGCATGAGAACTGCTCTGTCAGCATTTAGTTATTCTGCTGTAGTAGTCAAGTAGGTAAAACAAATGCTTTTAGAGGAGGACATTAAAATGCATATTGTGTAGATATTTGCTGCCCATAACATTACTAAGCTTTTTGTCAGACATGCTTCTCAGTGTTGTATTTGTAGAGTCAGCTTTTGTGTATTTTCATGACAGTTTTAAGCATAGTTAAATCAGATACTTTGGAAAAAGATAAATCAATATTTATGTTATAAAATGTTTCGTTATAAAAGTCTTTCAATCTGTTTGCATTGATTTGATCTCTGCAGTTAATATGCATTAGTTATATTGGAGTAGTAGAAAAATCACAAAGCAGAAAACAGTAGTGTGTGCATAGTATGCTGTGTATATTGGTATGATATGATTATATTGTATATCTAAGGTGTATGTTTGGTTAAGCTATGTGTTTAAGTTGGTGGGCTTCTAAATTTTGTTACGGGGGCTGGAGAGGTGGCTCAGCGGAGCACTGGCTGTTCTTGCAGGAGGCCTGGGTTTGAATCACAGCACCCATATGGCAGCTAACAACTGTCTGTAACTCCAGTTACAGGGCATCTGAACCCCTCTTCTTTCCTCCACAGGCACTGCACTTGCACACATGCAGACATAACCTCATACACATAAAATAAAAATAAATTAAAAAGATTTTTTGTGTTAGCATGCAGAAATAGCAAGTTTCATTATGGTATTTCCAGATGTGTCATACTTTATCCTTATTCATCCTCCATACACACTGCCTCCTGCTTGCTAGTCCCTGTCCTCCAGGCTGGGCATGGTGGTGCATACCTTTAATCCCAGCATACAAGAAGCAAAAGCAGACAGATCTCGATGAATTTAAGGCCAGCCTGGTCTACATAGTAAGTTCCAGGCTAGCCAATGCTACATTGTGAGACCTTGTTTCAAAAAACACAACAAAAATTCTAATTCAAAGTTTGCCTTGCTGTTCTTTCTAGGAAGGCATGGTACGATGTGATACAGCAGTTGGAACACCTGACTATATTTCCCCTGAAGTATTAAAATCCCAAGGTGGTGATGGTTATTATGGACGAGAGTGTGACTGGTGGTCAGTTGGGGTATTTTTATATGAGATGCTTGTTGGTGAGTAAGGAGAATTTGTTTTGTTTTGTTTTATAAACGTTTAATGTCATTGTGCATCCCAAATTCCCCACGTGGCTTCTACTCATCTAAATACTTATTACATTAAGCAACATTAATTTGTAGAAAGCAGACATAATCCTTAACTATGATGTGTTACTTCTTTCTATATAATAAGTATATGGTTTTAGCTTAGCACTTTATTTATTTATTTATTTATTTATTTATTTATTATTTTTATGAGACAGGGTCTCCCTGTAGCCCCAGCTGTCCTGGAACTCACTGTGTAGACCAGGCTGGCCTTGAACTCACAGAGATCAGCCTGCCTCTGCCTCCCAAATGCTGGGATTAAAGGCATGTGCCACCACGCCCAGCGCACATACTTATTTTTTAAGCAAATAACTGATTCTTCCTTTGACATAAATATTTTTTCAAATGTATTTTCTTTTGCTTTCATTTTTTTTAGGTGATACACCTTTTTATGCAGATTCTCTTGTTGGGACTTACAGTAAAATTATGAACCATAAAAATTCACTTACTTTCCCTGATGATAATGACATATCAAAAGAAGCAAAAAATCTTATTTGTGCCTTCCTTACTGACAGGTAAGTAGCCTTGATAGTGAACTTCTTTATTTTTATTGTTATTATTATTGTTAATTATTAGTGTGTATACATATATGTGCATGTTACAACATGGAGGTGAATCAGTTATCTCCTTCCATTGTGGGCTCTGGGGATTGAACATGGGTTTGTCAGGCATGCTGGGAAGTTGTTGCTGGGAAATCTTATCAGCCCATATACTTCTTTTTTTATAAAGATTTTATTTATTTATTTATTTTGTTTTATTTATTTATTTTTTTTGTCTTTTTGAGGGTCTCCCCCAGCTGGTCTGGAACTCATAGAGATCTGCCTGCCACTTCCTTCCAAGTGCTGGGATTAAAGACATGCGCCACCAAGCCAGGCTCTTGCTGCTCAGTTTTTACAATTTATACCTGACCTGCTGCATGTGAGCTATTAGAATATAAAAGCTTCCATTTTGAAGATCATTTATGACAGTGACGCCTGGTATAGTTTTAGGATGTTATGATTTCTTCTCTGATTTTCAACTTAGTGCACAAATGCAATTAGGACAATAAGACAGCCTTGTCTGGTGGCTAGACCAGGGAATCTTTTGTTATAAATATTTTAACTTGGTTAATTGTCAGAATGATAGTCTTTTCTACTGAATCTTGGATTTTTTTTTCTTAGCATATTAAAATATGAAATTTGGGTGCATCTTGCATCAGTGATGTGTATTGACTTGATGGAGAGCATTTTTCCTTAGCTGTGTAAAAGTGATAATGCACCTTCCAATTTATGCCGTTTTTTGGTTGTTGATCGGCAGTGTCAAAATGAATGCCTCTCTCTTACACATAGTTATTGCTGTTGTTTTCCAGCTTCAACAAGCATTTTATAAATGTTACTGTTTTTGAAATAAAAATAAAGAAAGCACATTATATATACTTTTGTAGTTTACTTTTATTTTTATTTTTATTTTATTGTTTGCAGTGCAAGGAATGAGGGGCAGGGGCTATAGCCCAGTCCAGTATACATAAGAACTTGGATTTAATTCTTTTTTAAAATATGTATTTATTTATTTAGTGCACCACTTGCATGTAGACATTGGCATTGTGACCTGCCATGTAGGTATTGGGAATCAAACCCAGGTCCTCTGGAAGAGCACCAAGTGCTTTTACCTGCTGAGCCATCTCTCCAGCCCTTGGATTTAATTCTTTTCTGTAACACACACACGCACACACACACACACACACACACACAAAAATACCTGATCTAAATGACTTTGTAAGATTACATTTAATGTTGGTTGTATATTGCTAATTTAAATAGTAGGGCAAGACTAGTACTTGTTTATGCTAATTATAATTGACTTCTCTTCAGTATGTCCTGTAGAGCTTGAAAGGAGAGGCAAAGCTTTCAAATTTTTACATTGTAATGGAAAGAACTAATATTTTGTGTTCTGTGCTATCTATGTAAAAATGAGCAAGACAAATAGCATTTCTCAAGTACCTTTAGTCTTTTGGGGAGGAAGTAGACAAATTAGAGTGTTAATAGCATGAGATAAGTACAGTGTGCCAGAGAATCACAAAGTGGCTCCTTTACCTGGCCTAAGGGAGGTAATAAAAGCTACTAGACAAAGTGTTATACATCTAAAACAATATGAAACATTTGGAATTTATGGTATTCTAATTTTTTAAAAGTCCTTGACTAAAGAATAAATGGTGTTGCATTTCTATTGGAGGCTAGTTTTTTGTTTGTTTGTTTGTTTGGTTTTTTTTTTTTTTCTTTTTGGCAATCTATTATATCATCTTCCTTTTCCCTTCTAGCTTTGCGATATCCTGATTTAATCCCAAATCACCAGAATCCTCATCCAAGTCATTAATAAAATATTCAACAAGAAAAGAAAGTCCTCTGGCACTCTACCAAAGACTTGTCCTAAGCTGATTTAATCAGTGGGTTTTTTTTTTCTTGGTGGGTGAGGGGGGGGGGTACAGGACAGTTAATTTTTAGCTTTTTAACACAGTGTCTCAGCTGGGTGTTGCCTCTGCCGCCTTTAATCCTAGCACTTGGGAGGCAGAGGCAGGCCATCTTTTTGAGTTCAAGACCAGCCTGGTCTACATAGTGAGCTCCAGGACATCTGGGGCTACAGGGAGACCCAGTCTCAAAAAGACAAAAAAAAGTTTTTTTTTTAATGTTTCTGATGCAGGGTGTGGTGATGCACACCTTTAATCCCAGCACTCAGGAGGCAGAGCAGGTAGATCTTTGAGATTGAGGCCAACATGGTCTAATACTGAGATCTACCCTAGCTAGGGCTACTTGGAGACCCTGTCTCAAGAAAACTAAAATAAATAAATAAATAAAGACAGATGTGTTTCTGGAATTTGGGGTAGAACCTTGTATTAAGTAAAGTTGATGGTTACACAAAAAATATATAACTTTACCACAATTTATAAATAATTGTTAAGAAAAGGCATTGTGAGTCATGCTGATGAATCCATTCATCTGGATCTTCATTATCAATGGAAAAGCCATGAAATATATTTTTTCTTTAAGTAATTTCTTTAATGCTCTCTGTGTATACTTTTTTCTCCTTGAGTTTTAGATATTTACTGATAATAATATTTAAGGTGACAGTGTGTTCTGTCACAAAGAAACCTATAGGGGGTTATAATAAGGTCCTAAATTATTAATTACTTTTCTCCTTCCCTCTCTATTTAGAGAAGTGAGATTAGGCAGAAATGGTGTAGAAGAAATCAAACGACATCTCTTCTTCAAAAATGATCAGTGGGCTTGGGAAACACTCCGGGACAGTAAGTTACATTTTTCCTGGACATTTGAGTACATGATCAAAAGTAGTTGTAGTAAGTTGAAGCTGCCTTGCTAAATATCTGTTACATGTGTTGAAAGTCACAAGTACATAAATGCTATATGGAAATTGTTCTAAACTAGTTTAAAGAGTATTTTATTATATTGGAGAAATTGTACGGGTGTTCTTTTCATGTTCCACTAAATATAATGTAGATGTAATGGATTGGGGCTCAGCCATCATAATTAGATATTTGAGCATTGTTAAATTGCTGTTTATTTTAGGCTTATTTTCCTAAGGAAGAAATAAGTAAATAAGAATGGAAATTGAAGTGTGTTTTCTCATGAAAAGATAACTTATTTTCTTATGAGTCTGAGCTGGGCGTGGTGGTGCATGCCTGTAATCCCAGCACTTGGGAGGCAGAGGCAGGTTGATCTCTGTGAGTTCGAGGTCAGCCTGGTCTACATAGTGAGTTTAAGGCCAGCTGGGGCTATAGGGAGACCCTGTTTCAAAAAGACAAAAATAAATAAATAAATAAAAGGAGATTCTATTACTGAGAAGTGTGCCACATTGTAATTCAGTTTTATTTAGGAAGACATTGAAAATTGATGTACTTGGTTCTTAGGGTTTCGCAGATTGCAGCTGCAAAATAAATAGTATGCTGCTAGAAGTTAATTTTCAGTCACTGTAGAACATTTCCTTATTTTTTAAAAAAGAAAGTTAAAAATATTTGAAGAAAACTTTTTATAAGTTAGTCTTATCAAAATTACATAATACCACTAAAGATGGCTCATCATTATCTTTATAGATTTAGAAGACAAGAACTCGTCTTTTTCACAACTTAAGTTTTAGAAATTCTTTTCCGCTTTCATTTATCAGAAGATGGATAATGCATGCCAGCCCCCAACTTCCTGCTTTAACCATATCAGTAAATAGTAATGGAAATCCTTACCTATGTAGTGTTAGGAACATTAGGCATTTGGTAAGGACTGCCTAATTCATTGAGATAGTGGATGATAGTTCTTTTTTTAAAAAAAATTAATTTTGTGAATGTTATGCCTCTGTCATGCAGTGCCTGCAGAGGACAGAAGAGGGCATCAGATCCCTTGGAACTGGAGTTAGGGATGGTTGTTAGCCATCATGTGAGTGCTGGGATTCAGACCCAGGTCCTCTGCAAGAGCAGTCAGTGCTTTTAACTGCTAAGCCATCTCTCTAGTCCCATGAATGATCATTCTTACTTGAGGGGAGGGAATTTTTAACTAATTCAGAAGATATAGACCATGTAGTTTTGGTAGTTTTAGCAAAGTATTCTAGTTACCAAATGTTTCTTTTAGAACCAGTTATGTTGCTTCCACTATAGTACATACTGTTCTAAGCTATAAAATTACCTAAGGAAAAAAAGGATTATTCTGGTAATTAAGAAATTATACCAAAGAATGTCATTGAATGGCTGACTGGTTATCTAGAAAAGCTACGGGAACAACTTGGCCTGGGAGAGTTCACTAACAGTTACTTATAATGGGAAAGAACATCTGCCTTACTGGTAAATATAACATGATTATTGTCTGTAGTCTGCAAAGTAATTTATTTCAAGATAGCAATGAGCAGAAAATGAGGCAAATGGTTACATTGAAAAGCTTTGTTGTTTTATCCAAATACGCTCTGAATAAAGTTTAAGAAAGCCAAAAACTTACAAATATAAATCTAAAAAAGTATATAAGGGGACCAAAGAGCAGTGTCTTTTGAATTTCTTTGTATGATTTTTCAGGCAAAGTTAGGAAATAACAACAACAACAACAAAAAACAAAAACAAAAAAGGGGCAAAACAAAAAACCCCTACCAAACCAAAACTATAGGATAACCACACAATAAGTAAGTGTAAAAAAATAGGAAGATTGTATTTTCTTTTATGAATTGAAAAACTGGTATTAAGTGGAAGAGGCGATAATGTAGTCTACTGAAATTTATTTGAACTCCTATTATATGCTGAACATTATTTTATTTCAGGCAGTGGGAAAATAGGAGTGCTCAAGCCAATAAAGTTTTTTCTTTTGTGCAGCTTACATTTGCATGGCATTTGGGAGCCCAAATCAATGTAATATTGTTATAACCCTGTTTGTCTTTCATAAAACTGCCTTTATTTATGAAAAAAAAGTGAACTCATAGATTTAAATCAAATGAACTTTGTACTTAAATATTATAATTATCTTTATGTGATTTTATTAATATTGTTATTTCTTTATCCTTTAAAGAGCTGCATTGATGACTGATTTTTAGAGTGCTTTGTTTATTTTGTTTTGTTATGGTAATGATGAAAATCCAGCCCTTATGCATCTTAGGCAAGCACTCTGCCATTGAGCCATATGCTCGGCCCTATGGTTTTGATATTGTGTTAGATTTAGCATACTTAGGAACACATTTGATAGTTTTTCCTAAACTTAATAGGCTCTGCTTTGTGATTATTGAAAAAGAAAGAAAAATTGTAATCTGTATAACTTACTGTTCTTTTCTTCTCCTTCTCTCTTCCTATTCTTTCTTCACTTCCTACCCCTGAAATACCAAGAAAGCTTTTACTCTGCACTGACCTAAATTTTAAGTAATTACATAATGATTATAATTCCTTTTACTATTTTTGGATTTCTATTTTTCTCTAGGAAAATCGCTTCCTTTTACAACTTAATCTACTTTTACCAGTTAAATGTTTCTGAGGTACAGTGGCAATTGGTCTTCACCTGCTTTTCCTTGGTTGTCAGGACATATTTTCTCTTAAGTTTCTTGATCTTACCCTTAATTTTAAGGCATAACAGATTAAGATTGCAAAATTACTTTTACATTTATTTTGAAATAGAATTGAAGAAGTGACGTGAGTGAGATTAAAGATAGAAGACTAAAGAAATGAAAAGACCCCCAAAACTTACTGTATTTCAAGCACACTATGAGCAAATGACAGTGCCAGGGTTCAAATGTACTTGTGATCATTTGGATATTGTGTGTCATTTAAGCATTTTTCTCTTATTCAGTAATATTTATCACATATGTAAGGAGTCAAAGCATGGGTGGTTATATTTTGGAGAAAAGTGTGTGATAACATTTATTACATATAATACAGAATTAATAATTCTATGTTAATTATAATGTGGTGATCTTCAAAACACTTGGCCATTCATCTTGTTTGAGATAAGATACTGCCATTGCTTAATCTGCCTGTAGCTTGTGAGAAATATATGAAGTACTGACAGTGGCATAATTTCTATCAACTCATGTACATATCTATAAGTAGAATTACTTATATTCTACTACTATAAGTAGAATCTGTAAGGAATTATTTGATAATTCTTTTTACTTTTTTTAGGAATCATTAGCCATCCTAATGGTACATCATAGTGGTTTTTGATTTGTAATTTCCCAGTGATTAATGCTAAATACCTTTGCGTGTACTTATTGGCTGTCTGCATAATTTCAAATCTTTTACTCATATTTTAATTGGTTTGGGATTCCCCCCCTCCATTTATGCATTTGTTTTTGAAATCATATGAGAAAAAAAGCAATCACTGACTAATAATACAATCCTACTGACTTTTACATTTATCTATGTAGTTACTTTTCTTTTTACTGCTGTTCAGGGTAGTTTGATTATACTGTATGACTAATTCTTCATCTTGTACGTCTTTTGGAGTTTTTTTTTTTTTTTTTTACTATTTTTTATTCAGTTTCTTGGATGTGTAGATTCATATATTTTACAAGATTTGGGGAGCTCTGGTGTGGCATTTATTATTAAGCCTCATAATCACTTAAACAAATAGACTGACTCTTAAATTGTTTTTTGTTTGTTTGCTTGTTTTTGGTCTTTTTTGAGAGAGAGTCTCCCTGTAGCTCCAGCTGTCCTAGAACTCACTATGTGGACCAGGCTGGCCTTGAACTCACAGAGATCTGCCTGCCTCTGCCTCCCAAGTGCTGGCATTAAAGGTGTGCGCCACCACGCCTGGCCAATAAAGAAATTTTTTTAAATACCAAAATTCAGCAGCCCCTTTATTAAAAACTCCCATGCTTGTTTTAAGCTACTTGTAAGATTCCATGGTTCTCAGAAAGTTGCTTCTAATAGTTTTTGCCAGCTCAACGTTTACTTCAGTAGAGATAGGCGTTTTAGAATTCCTTTTTAGTTTTGTTGACATCCAGTGGTTTCTTTTATATGAGAATTGATTCCTAGATTATTAATTACAGTAGTGAATTTTTAAAAATATTTATTATTTTATTTTATGTGTATGAGTGTATTGCCTACATGTATGTGAGTGCACCGGTGTTGTGCAGTGCCACAGAGGTCAAAAGAGGGCTTCGGATTCCCCTGGAACTGGAGTTAAGGATGGTTCATAACCGCCATGTGGGTGCTGGGACTCGAACCTGAGTCCTCTTCAAGAGCAGTGTTCTTAACTGCTGAGCCATCTCTCCAGCCCCAGAAGTGAATTTTTAACAAATTAAATACTCTTAATGATAAGTTAGTAAATACTCTTAATGATAAATCAATAAGGTTATCTTCATCCTTATTTGCTCTGAAGTGATTAGGTTGTATTGTGTTAAGTCTAAACATCCTAACTTAGAAGTAGACATTTTTAAAAACTATTTTATTTTATTTTTTTTTTATTTTATGTGTATGAGTATATTGCCTGCCTGTATGTGCGTACACCCGTGTCATGCAATCAGTGCTGTGGAGGTCAGAAGAGGGCTTTGGATTTCCCTGGAACTGGAGTTAAGGATGGTTCAAAGCCACCATGTGGGTGCTGGGAATCGAACCTGGGTCCTCTGCAAGAGCTGTCAGTGCTCTCAACCACTGAGCCATCTCTCCAGCCCAGAATTCGACATTTTATAACTCACGATTTCTTGCATTTATATTTCACAGTTTAAAAATATTGAACTTGACATGTTTCAAAACTGTTCTGATGGACCAGCAATGACTCAGCAGGTAAAAGGGGCTTTTTGCCAAGGCTGATGACCTGGGTTTGCTCTCTAGGACCCACAACTCCCACAGATTGTCTTCTGACCTCCACATAACATGTTATAACATGGACATGTATGCACAGGTACTCACAAATATAATATGTATTTTTAAAAGCCTACTCTAGCTGGGCATGGTGGTGCATACCTTTAATCCCAGAATTCAGGAGGTAGAGGCAGGCAGATCTCTGTGAGATGGAAGCCAGCCTGGTCTGCATAGTGAGTTCAGGCCAGCTGGGGGCTGCAGGGAGACCCTGTCTCAAAAAAGACCAAAAAAAGCCTACTCTAAAATAATATGTCATAAGAAAACTAGGCCATTGGTAACGACAAGAGAAAATACAGCACAATCGTTTGCTTCTCTTTAAAAATCTTTGTATATTCAGGTGTACACTTCTAATCCCAGCACTTGGGAGGTAGAGGCAGGCAGATCTCTGTGAGTTGGAGGCCAGCCAAGGCTACCTAGTGAGATCCTATTTCAAACCTTCCCCATTCTCCCCCCAAAATTTTGTATATGATAATTTAAAAAGAATTTCTTAGCCCCAGCAATTGGACAAGTAGAGTTTTTTGGGGGTGGGGTGGGGGTATTGTTCTGAACATTGTAAACTATTTAATAATATTCTTGGACTCATGTGCAAGTAGCATCTCTCCCTCTATTCATGACCAAAAATAGTTACCCAGACATCCTCAAATGTTAGTAGGTGGACAAAAATTTTCACTGATTGAAAACTATTATTTTAAGAAAAAAAATTTATGTTATGACCATAATTTATTTTCCAGGAAGCAGCAACCTTTTATTTACTCCTCATTTTATAGACAGTTATTAGTATTAAGAATGTACCATTATCTAATTAGACAGGGAAAATAAATGATAGAAAAGCTTTTTTTTTCCATTAATGCTACAGTTTTATTGGGTTAAATCTGTTTTGCTTCCAAATTAATAAAATAGTTTGATATGTCTAAGATTGCACAAAGTAGATATTTCTTGCCTCGAATATTCCAGTGATTCAGGAGAAAAATGACTCCTTTACATAAGCCATGAAGATCATGAAACAAGTTCATTTGATTTTTGCTTGCCTGTCTTCATGTTTCACTCTAAAGGAAAACAAGATGATTATATCTAAAATAATTATTCGGCATTTTGTCAATAATGATCTCATTGTTTTATTATACTACATCTCTTTACACGTGTAAAGACTTTATACGGAAGTTTTTTAGATGTGCCCTGTATATCATATTCAAGCTCCAGAAGACATTAATAACATTAATTTCAAATGACATTTTGTCCTTTGTTAACAATATTTTTACTGATTGTCACTTATGGTTTTTTAGTATTTGATAGAAACCTTTAACCACTCCCCTCATTGTGCCTATAATCCCCCCCCTTTATTTCCAGGACAACTAAGAAATAGCCTTGATTTCTAGTTTCTGTATAGCAGATTGTTTTAGTTTTCTTTCTATTGTTGTGTTAAATGCCATGAAAAAAAGTGACTTATGGAGGAAAGGGCTTATTTCATCCTACACTTTTCAGTCACAGTCCATCTTTGAGAGAAGTCAAGTGGAAACTCAAGGCAGGAATCTGGAGACAGGAACCATGGTAGAATAATGCTCACTGGCTCGCTCTCTCTCTCTGGGTTGTGCTCAGCCAGCTTTCTTATACAACCCAGAACCACTTGCCTAGGAGTGACACTGCCCACAGCGGGCCAGGCCCTCCTGCATCACTCAGCAATCCAGATAGTCCCCTACAGACAGTGACCACAGGCCCATATGATCAAAGCATTCTCTTGATTGAGAAGCCCTCTTCTCAGGTGACTCTTGCTTGTGTCAACTCAACAGTAAAAACTAACCCCAGTACACAGTTGACGACAGCAGCAACAAAAATCACTATTTAAGATGAACCAATTTAAAAAATGATTTTATTATTTTAATTTTATGTTTGTGAGTGTATTGCCTGCATGTATGTAAGTGTACCTGTGTCATGGAGTGCCTGCAGAAGTCAGTTCAGTGCCTGGAAATAGAGTTATGGACAGTTGTTAGCTGCCACGTGGGTGCTGGGAACCGAGCCAATGCTGCCATCCCCTGAGCCATCTGTCCAGCCCTAAACCAATTTTTTAAAAAAGTGCACTTTGTGGGCCTGGAGAGATGGCTCAACGGTTAAGAACACTGGTTGTTCTTGCAGAAGACCCAGGTTCGAATCCCAGCAGATTCCCAGCACCCACATGGCAGCTAACAACTGTCCGTAACGCCAGTCCCAGGGCATCTGACAGCCTCTTCTGACCTCCTCGGGCATTGCATGACATGTGCACTTATCTACATGCAGGCAGCACACGCATACACATAAAAAATAATAAAATTTTTTTAAAAAGTGCACGTTGTGCCGGGCATGGTAGCACACACCTTTAATCCCAGCACTCGGGAGGCAGAGGCAGGCAGATCTCTATGAGTTCAAGGCCAGCCTGGTCTACATAGTGAGTTCCAGGCCAGCTGGGGCTACAGGGAGACCCTGTCTCAAAAAGAACCCCCCCCCCAAAAAAAAGTGCACTTTATTATGCTATAGGTCTGGAAATTCACTTCTGTTGTCCTAAGTGCAAAGTATTGTATACTGTGATGTATCTTGTAGCAAACATTAATAACACTTGTAATAGTCAATTTAAACTTAAAGTATAAATAATTACAGATGCCTTAGAAGGAAATTATTTCATGTAAGTACATGGTGATCATTTTCATCTACTTTTGAATTGTAGTAAACCTTCATATTAATATAAGATTCAACCCATTTTACTTTGTGGTTGGCAAACTACCTGGAAGGAAGAAATCATCAATATTTAGTATGGAATTTTACTTGCTTTACGATGAGATCTGTTTGTTGCCCAGGCTAGCCCTGAGCTCCTGGGCTCAAGCACTCCCGACCAGCCTCTTTAGTACCTGGAACTATATAGGTTTATGCTGCCATGCTAGACTGATACAGAATCTTTGTGTCACTTTGTGTATTTATTTGATATGAACAACTACTTCCTTTCTTTTTAGCTGTAGCACCAGTTGTACCTGATTTAAGTAGTGACATTGATACTAGTAATTTTGATGACTTAGAAGAAGATAAAGGAGATGAAGAAACATTTCCTATTCCTAAAGCTTTTGTTGGCAATCAACTACCTTTTGTAGGATTTACATATTACAGCAATCGTAGGTGAGTATACTAAGCAATCCTTTTAGGGCTAAGTGATGATTCTTTTATATTCATGTTATTTTCTTAGAGCTATCTAGAGATTGTTTAAAAGTAGTTTTGATGGTATCTAAAGGTACATCTTTTCATTTATACCAATTTTCAGTGATGTTTGTTATTTCTAGTATTTGATTTTTTTTTCAGTCTCATGTTCAGTATATGGTTATTCAGAAAAAAAAAACGTTGTTGACTGATACAGTGCATTTATCTTAAAGTGAAAATAATGAATAGATGAAACCAGTTAATACTGACATGTCAGTCAGTGTTCTTACTTAAAGAGTTACAACTTGTATTATTTTCTGGAACAATATAAAGATTTCCCTAGCATTATAATCACAATATTACTGCTACCCAAAACCCATGATCTTTAGTTCTTCAAAGACTAATTCCTTCCAAAAAACATTTAATGAATTTACCATGTAATATATAAAATTACCTATACTGTGATGTTGAACAAATAACTGTAACGTTTTGTCCCCATCACCTCAAAAATTGAGGTAACAGGCTGAAGAGATGGCTCAACAGTTAAATGCACTGGTTGCCCTTCAGAGGAACCAGGTTCAAATCCCAGCACCCACAATGTGGCTAACAACCATCCATATTCAGATTCCAGGGGATCTGACACCCTCTTCTGACCTTTACAGGCACTACACGACATAGGTGCACTTACATACATGCAGGCAATACACTCATGCATATAAAATAAAAATAATATATTTAATAGAGATAACAATGATAACAATAATAACTCTTCCCTAATTGGAATGTTCTAAGCGTTAAATAAACAAACACATAATAAAGCACTTAGAGCAGTGCTTTGTATAGAGTAAGCATTCAGTGTTAGCTATTATTGCCACTAGTAGAACCTAATGTTCACTTGAGTCTCTTCAAGTAAACTTAAGGTTAAAACTTAGCATTTGACATTCAGTATGCTTGCATTCATTCATTCATTCAAGATGTACATATAGTCAAAGTGTTATGCATATAGTAAACACCGTGGTACAGAAATAAGATTTAATACCTCTCTTGAGATGCTTACATCTTAGTGAGGAAATCTGTAAATTGTACAGTGCAGGTTATTAAGTGCTACTAAATATAAACAAAGCACTAGACCAGCATAATGCAGAGAGGTACCTCCCACTACTTCCTGGCTTCAAACTTCATACCATTATTTTTAATCCCTTCTAAAACATGTTCTTTTCGTCAATTTGTTCTTCATAATGTGATTTTAAAGAATAATTGTTTAAAAATATCTTATTTGTTACTTTTATTTTAGTGCATGAGTGCATTACCTGCTTGTATGTAAATGTACCTGTGTCAGGCAATGCTCGAGGAGATCAGAAGAGGGTGTTATATCCCTTGGAACTGGAGTTACAGATGGTTGCTAGCTGCTTTGTGGGTGCTGGGACTCAAACCCACATCCTCTGCAAGAGCAGCTAGTGCTCTTAATTGCTGAGCCATCTCTTCAGCCCCTTAAATAATAAAATATTTTGTCAAATATTATTAACTTTGACTTATTATAGCTAATCTTATTTGAAGTGAAAAGTCTTAACATTTTAGTCAAAACTTTCACATGAAAGATTTAGGTCTACTTTAGAAACCAAAGGCCAGTTAGTCCTCCTTTCTGAAGTGTCACCAGTCGTCTGTAGAGCTGTGAACTTTGTGTTGCATCACCAACCAGTTAGCTAACACCTGACCTGTAGAAAGGCCTAAAATTATACTCCTTTCCTCCTTCCTAACACTTAGATAGCATTGTAGCTATTATATATTGACTTACATACAGAGGAGAGCTTTCTGGGAGGGTTTTCCTGAAGTAAATTTTATTTTGGCTGCATCTTTGAAACAGTCAGGATGTTGATAAATAGTCCTTAATATTATTAAATTTTCTGTGTGGTGCCCCTGCTATTAATTAATTTAGATTTCTCTGTACAAAGTTAATCTTTAGTTGAATAAATTAAACTGTGTGTACTTCATTCTCATGTACTTCATTGCATTATTTGATTTTCTTTTATATTCATATTTTGTCTCAAAGTTTTTGTTCCTTGTAAGAATATATTCTTAAATATCATAGCCTTATTGTGTACTCATTAAAATCAATTACTTATTACATGACTAGGTGAAAATATAGTTGCTTTTCATAAAGAATTAACAGTTGGGGCTGGAGAGATAGCTCAGCAATTAAGAGCACTGGCTGCTCTTGAAGACATCTGGGTTCGAATCCCAGCACCCACATGGCAGATGACCACATTTTGTGTAGAAGCAGCAATATAACATGAAGGAACCTTGAAAGAAGAAAAGAGAAGGGAAAAAATAGGGATAGATAAGTCCTTGTGTTTCTCCTGCTGCTTTCAGATAACCTTTTATTACTAATTTTGTAGAATGCTAGCCATCAACATCAGTTATATAGTGTATTGAGAAGATTCTTAGAGAACAAGTAGTCTAATTCAGTTTCCCTGTCAGTGTTATGTCATGTCCTTTTATTTACATAAGCAGAATCTTACAGTGAATTTGTCAGATATTTTGATAGTGAAGTAAAGTGAACTAACTACATGAGAATGTTCATTTGCCCCATGAACCCTTTCCAGCCCATACTGTTGCCTCCTAGTTGTTTGAATCTCTAATTGATCTAATTTTTAAGGAAAATTGAGGAAGTGTTCAATGGTACTTAAAGGATACTTGATTATCCTCTGTTCGTTCTTAGGATATTAACAACTGGTTTTCCAGCCATAAAGTATACTTCAGCTATTTGATCTGTTTTTGAGAGAGGTCTGTTGATTAATCAAGGTTCCAAATGTAGTGATAATGATTGTAAAAATTTAATAATAGTGGCAACTATAGCTCGCTGCAGATGTTAGAAGCAGCAGAGCAACACCTTGCTTAATAAGGCATACAAAAATACTCCTTTTTTTCCTTTATAAAAATCTTTTTAGAAATTTAAGCAAATATTTTATTATTTTTTACTTTATGTGTATGAATGTATTGCCTGCATGCATGTAAATGGACCCATGTCTTGCAGTGCCCACAGAGGTCAGAAGAGGATGTTGGAGCCCCTGGAACTGGAGTCATAGACAATTGTTAACTGGGTGCTGGGAACCAAGCCTGGGTCCTCTGCCAGAAGGAGTGCTCTGAGCAATCTTTCCAGACCCACAAAAATACTCTTTAAGATTCACTAATCACTTGTTTTGATATGTAATTCTAACTTACACTGAATTTAAAGAGCTTTACAAGGCTCATAGAAATTAGGAAGCGATCACTCAAACTTTGGTGTTTTTGCTTTTTTTGTTTTTTTAATTTTAATTACTTAGGCTCAAACTTAAAATTTGTTTTTTTAGTGGAAAAAGGCATTACATTGTTTTACTAAAAGGCAACTGAGTGCAAGAGAGGTAGTTTTGTTCATGTCTGTAGAAATCAATAATTCCTGTCCCCAGTTCTTATATTTAAAAAGCTCTAAATACAGAATGACTTTTAATTATTTAGTGATAAAGCTATTATGACATGTTTTGGGGGACCAGAAAACTTAATCTAAACTAATTTGAGACTGTTTTTCCTTTATCCCATATAATATAAATATTGATGTTTACTAGAAATATTAAATCACGATCACAGTGCGTTGCTCCAAAACTGTTTAATGCACATATTATATCTGTTTCTAAAATAAAAATTATGGGCTGGAGAGATGACCCAGCGGTTAAGAGCACTGGCTATTCTTGCAGAGGACCTGGGTTTGATTCCCAGAATTCACATCACAGCTAACAACCGTTCGTAACTTCAGTTCCAGGTGATCCAATGCCTTCTTCTGACTTCCACAGGCGTCACATGACGTGGGTGCACTTACCTACATGCAGGCAATACACTCATGCACATAAATTAAAAGTAATAAAATATTTGAAATAAAAATTTTGAACTTGTGCTTAATTTTTAAAAATACCTAATATACGCACTATAAAATAGGCATACAATATTTGTTATTAGTTGTTACTATATACTAAAGATTCTTTTGTTTTGTTTTTAAACTCCTACCTGCCCCCAGATCCTTATCTTCAGCAAATCCCAATGATAACAGAACTAGCTCCAATGTGGATAAAAGCTTGGTAGGTATTTTCCTCAGCTTTTTAAAATTCATAGCTAACGTATTTGTGTGCATGCGATTAAGGGTATGTATTGCTGTGAATGTGCATTTAATGAACTTAGGTATTTATGGCACTTTTAAATTATCGTGTTCTCTTTAGTGTGATGATAAACCTGAATATCAAGTAGAATAATATTTGTAGAGGTAGTTAATAAATTGTAAATTGCTACAGATTAACAGTGATAATCTTTTAAATCTTTGGAATTAGGAATGTATGGTAAATTAGTTTATCATTAAGGAACTTGGAAGTTGGGCATGGTTGTATATTCCTATAATCTCAACACACTGGAAGCTGAGGCAGGAAGATCACAAGTTCTAATGGGGTTTCTAGGTCAGCTTGGGCACCAAACAAGGAGATAGTGTCTCAAAAGAAGATGGTGGTAGGAATTGCTGGCAAGAATCCTTAAAACATTCAAAAGATTTAAGTTAATAAGAGAATTTTCCTTGTTGACAAAATATAAATATAAATAAAACTGACCATTTTAACTAATTTTAAGTGTACAGTTAAGTGACATTAGGAACCATCATATAATTGTACAAACTGTTCATCTCTAGAACTTTTTCATCATTCTAAGCTGTAAATTGTACCCCTTAAAACAATTAACTCCTCATTTCACCCTGCCCTCAGGCACTATAACCACTATTTTTTAAAATATTTTATTTATTTATTTATTTATTTTATGTGTATGAATGTATTGCCTGCATGTATGTGAGTGCACCCGTGTCTTGCAATGCCACAGAGGTCAGGCGAGGGCTTCGGATTCCCCTGGAACTGGAGTTAAGGACAGTTCGTAGCTGCCATGTGGGTGCTGGGAATCGAACCCGGGTCTTCTGCAAGAGCAGTGAGTGCTCTTAACTGCTGAGCCATCTCTCCAGCCCCCTATAACCACTATTTTTTATTGCAATGAAGTTATTCTACCCACCTCATAAAATGGAATTAGCTATATTTGTCATTATGTGATGGCCTTATTTCTTTTTAGCTTAATATCTTTAAGATTCATTCATGTAGTATATATATATTAGAATTTCCTTCCTATAAAAGGTTGAATAATATCTCAGTGGGCTTGTTTACCACATTTTATGTATCCAGTCATGAAATGGAAAAAATTTAATAAAGGCACTTATTCTATAAATACCAATAGAGGGGGGGAAATAAAAGTTGCTAAAGCTCCTGCTGACTAACAGCAGTGCAAAACCTTTGCTCCTGTATGGTTTGAAAGGAGATAAAATGTAGCACTTAGCAAGCCTGACATCATAGAAGAGAAATAGATGATCTAGAACACTACCAGAAGTACAGTACCGAAGGGTGTGGAGAGAATAACTACCTGTCTCCACCTTCTTGTCTTTTGTTTCCTCCTATGGTCTGAAACCAACTTAGAGCGATAGGGCAATAGAGCTCAGGTAATATAGTCTGTAGACTTAGGAGCAAGAAAAGTAGAGGATAGATCTTCAAGACCGAAAAGGAATTGAGGGAATGGAGAATAACAGTATCATTTAATTTGTTCACTATGAAGCTGATTACCCTGGATTAGGAATATGTGATAAGTATTTCATTAGGGATCATGGCATATTCTACTTGGGGGTTATTTGTTGTTCACATGGCTCATGTTCATGAGATAGGCTTAAAAACAAACCTTCCTTAACTTAAATTTGAGAAAATCTTTTCGAGTTAAGTAGGACTTTTCTGAAACAAGTATTAGAAATAATTATATTGCCATCCTTAGAACATTTTTGGGATACTTTCTGTACTTTTTAAAATTTTGGTGGTGATACTGGACATCAAAGCCAGTGTCTCACATTTGCTTGACCACTGAGCTATAGCTCCATCACATAGCCTGTATGTTTTTAATCAAGAAACAAAGGAGTAGCATCAATTTTTAAAAATTTATATTTGTTTGTTTTGAGGTAAGGTCTTAGATAACTCTGACTGGCCTCAAACTCCCTATCTAGTCAAGGATGACCATGAACTTCTGATCCTCCTGCCTCCACTTTCCAAGTGTTGGTATTACACATGTGAGCTACCATGCTTAGTTTATGTCGTGCTGAGGACTAGAACCCAGGGCTTCAAGCATGTGAGATAAGCACTCTACTCACTGATCTACAGCCCCACCCCTACTTATTCTTGGTTTGTTGGTTTAGGTTCTTGAGAGCTACATGTACTAGACTTGCACTCTACCAACTGATCTACATCCCCACCCCTATTTATTTTTAGTTTGGTTTGATTTGAGATAGTTCAGCGTGACCTCTAACTAGCAATGTAGCTGAGAATGACCTTGAACTCCTACCCCTCCTGCCCCTACCTCTCACATGCCAGCAGCCTTTTTTTTTTTTTTTTTTTAGGTTGTTAGAGTTGTTTTCCTTATGTCGTATTTCTTCTTAAATGTAAGAGAACATGGAATAGAAAGAGGGAGAGAAAAGGGGAAGGAACTATGCAAGCACCTTTTGGTTGTCATACTCATCTTTTTCTTTTAAATTTTCATCTCAAGTTAAATAGCTAGCTGTGCTCAAAGATTATTAAAATAGGGCTGGAGAGATGGCTCAGCAGTTAAGAACACTGACTGTTCTTGCAGAAGACCCGGGTTTGAATCCCAGCACCCACATGGCAGCTAACAACTGTCCATAACTCCAGTTTCAGGGGATCCAACGGCCTCTTCTGTCCTCTACTGGCATTGCACGCCCATGGGTGCACTTACCTACATTCAGACAACACATGCATACACATAAAATAAAAATAGTAAATAAAATTTTTTTTAAAAAAGTACTTGTTTCTAGGGAATGCCAATAAATATTCAAAAAATTTGTGTTTTCTTTGGACTGATTTTATTGTTGTGATTGTATACATTTCTATTAGAAGCTGCTGCCATTTAGCTATTAGTATTACTTTACAGTACCATTTATATTAACCAGAACTAAGTACAAAAATCAAGTCTTCCTTGAAAGTCTTAGCTGAGATAAAGAATGTTGCAGTGGCCAAATATGAGCAGTTTTCTTCTTTACTACTTTAGATTGATTGCTCTTTCCTTATTAACTCTTTCATGTTTCCATTATTCCTTTTTTTTTTTTTCATGATTCTTTGAATTTTATTTTCATTCTTCTTTGCAGGATCCTCTAATAACTGCTCAGTCATTAAATGTTTTCCATAGTGTGGTTGTGTTCATTTCTACTCTGTGCATGTCAGTCTTGAGATCTATACCTGAATCCCTGTCTTCCTGGATACTTCTCAGACACCTCAAACTAAGCCAAAGCTAAACACACAGTTTTCTTCTCCCCAAACCTTCCTCGGCAGTGTTTTGGGTTTCTTTCCTTTCATAATGGTAGTATCTATGTTCTTTCTTATTCAAATTAGTTTCTAAATCTTATCTTGTAGTTAATAAACTTACCTATTTCTCCTTTTCATTCTTACAGCCACTACTTGACCTCATGTCCACTTTCCTTCTTACCTGAATCATTTCTCTAGCTTTTTACGTGGATGCTTTTCCTGGAGTTTCACTGCTCTTTAAAGTGAAAGTCACATATCTTCCTCTGTTGCTCTTTTGATTCAGGGTCTCACTGAGTCAAGCCCCGGGAGGTCTTTCTGTCTTTTCCTTGCTTAGCACTGGGGTTGCAAACGTGTGCCACCATGCCTGGCTTTTTATTGTTGATGCTGGGGATCCAAACTCAGGTCTTTGTGCTTGCATGCAAGTATTTTACCTAATAAATCATCTTCCTAGCCCTGAAATGTTGTTTTAGATGGTCAGTATTGCACAAATTGTTTATAAGTTTAAGTCCTTAAGTTTTATTTTGCATACAAGGATCGTGGCCTTACCTTTTGAAGTTTGATATGAGTAACTTCCTCTGCTGTGTTCTGTATTATACTGTATTTGATTTCCTCTCCTTTATCAAACATCAAGTTTTCTTCTCTTCTTTGACTTGGCATTCTGGCCTCAATGCCTTCTTTATATTTCCCTTCTTTTTGACTGATACTTTTTTTATCATTTAGGTTTTAGTTAACACGGTATGTATTTCCAGTAAAATCAGAAATGACCCTTTCTTTTCTTCACAACAGTCTACATGTTATTTTATTATTACCAAATTATACTATTTTGTCTGTATGTCTGTGGATCACTGTGTGTGTTTGTGTGTGTGTGTGTGTATACATATGTCTTTTTGAGACAGGGTCGCCCTGTAGCCCCAGCCAGGCTGGCCTTGAACTCATAGAGATCCACCTGCCTCTGCCTCCCAAGTGCTGGGATTAAAGGCGTGCACCACCACACCCAGCTATTTTTTAAAAGATATTTTTAAACATAAAATGATGGGGCATGCCTTAATCCTAGCACTCAGGAGGCAGAGGTAGGCAGATCTATCTGAGTTTGAGACCAGCCTGGTCTACATAGAGAGTTCCATGCCAGCTGGGGCTACCGGGAGACCTTGTCTCAAAAAGACCGTCCCACCCCTCCCCCTCCCCAAATATATTTTTATTCTGTGGTGTTTGTTTTTGGGTTTTGTTTTTTCTTTTTGATACAGGGTCCCCCTATAGCCCCAGCTGGCCTAGAACTCACTATGTAGACCAGGCTGGCCTTCAACTCACAAAGATTCGCCTGCCCTCTGACTCCCTGAGTGCTGGAATTAAAGGCATGTGCCACTACACCCAGCTGTTCTGTGTTATTTTTAAGTGCTTGCATGTATGTATGTGTACCATGTGTTACGCATCTGCCTGTGAAGTCCATAAGAGGGTGTTGAATCTCTTGGAACTTGGAGTTAAAAGATGATTGTGAGCTGCCATATGGGTGTTGGGCGACAAGTGCTCTTAACCACTGAGACATCATCTCTTTAGACCTTATTTGTATATTCTTAACTTGTGCACAGAAACACAAAGACGTATATATTAGGGTACCATATAATGTTTTGATACATGTATAACATTATGTCCAGCTATTTATTACCTTTATGAGAACAGGACCAAACCTTTTTAACTCTTATTAGTGTTGCCTAGTATTAGTACCTGACATATTAGTAAATGTTGAGATAGTACTTGTCAATTAATAACAATTAGAAAGGCAGAGATAGGAGTAAAGTAAATAATCATATTCCAAACAGGTATAACATGGTAATAAAAAGTGTAATTTGCAATACTTTGAACACAGAATCAAGTGAGTTTTTTTTTTTTTTCAATTAAAGCAGGAAAGTTTGCAAAAAACAATCTACAAGCTTGAAGAACAGCTGCATAATGAAATGCAGTTAAAGGATGAAATGGAACAAAAGTGCAGGTGAGAACGTACTTCAGTGATGCTTTTCATATTACAAATTGTATACATATTTTAAAACTTATACTCTGTAAACACTTGAAACTACATGGAATATGGGGATATGAAGATTACTACTGATGCACATCCATGAAGTGTCTTTACTAGAATTGAAAAGTAGTGTTAGTGGGCTTAGAATGTAGCTTGGCAGTACAGTATTTGCTTAGCTTGTTGATGGCCCTAGATTTGTTCCCCAGCACTGCAGAAAGAAGAAAAAGGAAACACTTATGTTGGTATTGGTTATAGATTTTTTTTTCCAGACTATTTAGGGTGTATTTCCTCTCGTAGTCATAAAAAGTATGTTTAGCTTTCACTCATTTACTTGCTGATTTATTAATTTCTCTTCTGTTTTAACTAGCTAATTGAAAGGGCTTTCTGAAATGTTAAATGATATCAGTACCTAAAATCACTAATTTTTACTTTACTTTCCATGGAGATTTTCTAGACCATAATTCGATTTTTTTTTCTGTTGAATCAATTCTTCATAAACATATATTTATGAAATAGAGGATTATCAAAGTATTGTAAAATAACAGTGTAATGTTAGTACTTATTAATTATAAACAACCTTTTATAATTATACTTTATGAAGATTATTTAGTAAATGAAATATAAACATAGCAGAAATTTAGTCTTTAATAAATGTAATTAGAAAAACTTGACAGTATTGGCAGTATAGGAAATAATCTACCTTTCCTGGTAGATTATAAAGTTAGGTGTATAATACAAAATTTAGAAAAACAAAAAAAAGTTGCTCTAAGCAAACAACCAAAACCAGGATTTGGAAGGAATTTCTAAGAATATATAAAGGAGGAAATAAAGTAGATAACAAAATTTTATAGATACTGAGAAGCTTCTGCATCAAAAAATAATTTGGGGGCTAGTGGTAAGAGTGCTGCTCCTCAGAGGACCTGGGTTCAGTTCCCAGCAGCCACATGGGGTAGCTGCCAGCTGTCTGTAATCCCTTTCAGGGGATCTGGCACCCTCTTCTAGACTCTGTGGCACCTGCACTCACATGTGCACACATCCCTACAGATAATTAAAAATATTCTTTTAGGCACACTTAAAGGTAGCTGGTAGTACTGATGGTAAGAGATTAGAGGAAGAAGAGGAATGGCCAAAGTGACTAGTGACCTGAACACTGTCACTTCGAGAAATGGAATTAAGGATTCAGGTGCAATCCCAGCCTTTAGGAAATTGAGGCAGGAGAAGTTTGAGGAGAACCTGGGCTACAAAGTGAGACCCTGTCTCAGAAAAGGAAATAGAAATGGATTAAAATGATGTGCGAATTTTTTAAATTATATATTGACATGGTAAATAGTTTCTTTAAGCAAAATACAGTACCTAGGGATTGTACTTAACTTTTTTTTATGAGAGCTCATATATCTGATACTGTTTTTGTATTGTTTTTGAAAGGTTTATATCATATCCATTACAGCTTTTCACCCCCTTAATCCCACAAATATTTAGCTGTGTTTTGAAAAATTGTCTTTCTCCTACCTTAAGGCTCTTATATAAGTACTGGGAGAATTTGGTTAATGTGAGTGAGCAGACTAGAGACAGATTTTTGTCAAACTACATACTCATCACTGTCACTACTACTACCATTATCACTAGTACATACAGATCAAATCAGTACTAATTTTCATCTAATTCTCTACATTCATATCAACTTAATTCATTAAACAAAAGTTTCAGTTTGTTGGGCCAGGCATGGTGGCACATGCCTTTAATTCCAGCACTCGGGAGGCAGAGGCAGGCCGATCTCTATGAGTTCAAGGCCAGCCTGGTCTATATAGTGAGTTCCAGGACAGCTGGGGCTACAGGGAGACCCTGTCTCAAAAGGACCCCCCCACCCCCCAAAAATTTCAGTTTGTGTCAGATAATGTTTATACTAGCAATATAGTACTAAATAAAAGAAGATAAATCTCCTGTTTGTATAGAGATTGTAATCATCAGGGAAGATAAAATAATACAAGACTATATTAGAAATATGCCAGGCTTGGTGGCCCACACCTGTAATCTGATTGGAACAGGAGAATCATGAGTTCAGGGTTAGCCTGGGCTTACATGTACCTGTCCTCTTTTTTTCTCTAAACAAAAGATGCATACGTGCCGGGCATGGTGGCGCACGCCTTTAATCCCAGCACTCGGGAAGCAGAGGCAGGCGGATATCTGTAAGTTCAAGGCCAGCCTGGTCTACACAGTGAGTTCCAGGACAGCTGGGGCTACAGGGAGACCCTGTCTCAAAAAGACACCCCCCCCCCAATTTTTAGGGGTGTGTGTGTGAAAGGATACACATATAAATAGCATTACATCAGGATACCTATACTATTTTGTTGGATGTTTTAAAAAACCTGAAGTAGAAAGATTGGTGAGAAAAACTAGGAGAGAAAAAGGACAAACCAAGAGATTTGGAATTTACTTAGGTGAGATAGAAGCACATTGAAAGCCACTAAAGTAAGAAGTGGGGGAAAATGGATTCCCATCATTCACCTCAAAGCCGATGGGCATGCTGTCTGTAATTCCAGTACTCTAGAGGCAGAGACCAATCTGCTGGACAAGCTGGCTAGCTAGACTAGGCAAAATTGACAAACTCTGGGTTCAGAAACCCTGCCTTAATAAAAAAGTGGAACGTGATCAAAGGAGGATACCTGATGTCAACTTCTGACCTCCACATGCACACCCATGCACATGTACCTGCACATACATGTGTGCCTATATTCACACATATACACACCTACACACAAAAATAACCTCTTGGTTAATTGGCAACACTTGGGTTTTTCATTTATTTTTCCAAATAAATGAGAAGAGGGCAGCAGGGATAATTCCATGTTGTCGTCAGTTACTTGGAGATTCTAAATGGAAACAAATTGAAGGGCGAACTATAGAGCAGAGGAAATAGGTTAGTTTAGACATGCTGAGTGAGGTATTTGAGACATCCACATGAGCATGTTACATATACAGTATGTATGTGTTGAAGTAGAGCCCAAGGAATAAAATGTGAAAGAGATAATATGCTTTGAGTTGATCTCAGAATATTGCCTTCAGTGCCCAGTGGTACATATATTATTTGATAAATACCTTTCTTGTCATTTACTTTATCTCCTATTACAGGTTAAATGACCAGTATTTATGTGATAGCAATTACCACATTTGGGAATTTAGAAATTCTTAATCTGAGCTTAATAGACCCTTTTCTAAGAGTCCACATATGGAATTTGAGGTCTTTAAACTTAGATGAGAGAAAAATTTTCTTTATCTTTTTTCCTTTTGTCTTTATTATGTGAATGTGTATATCATATGTATGAATGCAGGTGCACATACATTTGTGGTGCCTGTGTGGACGTCAGAGGATAGTTTCAGGAGTCAGTTATGTCCTTCTATCAGGAGCCTGGGATCAACCTCAGGTCATCAGGCCTGCATAGCAAGTGCTTTTACCCACTTTTACCCATCTTGCTGGCCTCAAAGTTTCTTTTTCTTTTTCTCCAAGCAGCAAACTACAGTTAATCAGAAGTAGCTATAATTTTATTACAGTGAGGTCACAGATATTTTCCAGTATTAAAATTCTTTATCTCTGCTTATTCATGTTCATCATTACTTTGAAATTACTGCCATTACACCATGCCATTTGATAATCTATGAAGGAAGAAGCACATATGTAATTACTGAATCATGCATGTTCTAAAATTTTTTGTAGCATCATTATAATTGGCTTTTAATCTTATGTAATTTTTATTCTTCTAAAAATACATTTAATTGCTCTACAGAAGGCTTTGTAA